AGGTGCTTGGATTCAAGCGGGAAAGAACAATATTTGAAAAGTTTCAGCTTGCACTTTAGACTTGGGTCCAGCAGGTCGAGGTCTTCCCCAAGCGATTTCCAAAATATGTCCTTTTATATCTTTTATATTCAAATTATTATGAGATTGATCTATCGCTTGTTCAGCAGAAGATCTAGTTGCATAATTCACGAAAGTGCATCGTGATCAACGATTGATTTATTTTCTCTAGACGCATAAAAAATCCTCTAAATTTGGGAAAACATTCGATGGCCTTAATGGCCTTAACTTCTTGATGGTATAATATTCAAATTACCACCACTTTTCACATCACTGGACGATACCAATCGAAAAGATACCTGCTGGAGGCCTACGTCTATTTGACTCTTTACAACAATTTTAAATATAATAGTCATCACCTGTTTAATAACCTCTTTGTTGTAATTAAATTTTTTTTTTTCAGGTTCGTGCATTATTAATGATTAGTTATCGATCAACAATTCATTAGAAGAGCTTTGACCTTTGATCGTTTCTTTATTGTTATTGTACACTGCGTTTAGGACAGGTCATATATATAGATGTGATTGTGAAATTACCTTCTTGATTAATTGGAATACCTTCTAAAATTAGTAATATCATTAATGTAATTGAGTATTGGGAATTGGGAATTGGGATGATTTCTTTTTATTTTTTTTTTTGTAGAATATGTCTTGTAAGTAATTTCCTTTAGCTTTATTATTTGCTGCTTTGTTCCATTTTCAGTTTCCTTAACATCAAACTTTAATTCTTAAGAAAAAAAAAACCTGCGATATCAATGGATATCAATAAATGTGCTACAATAAATTCAGAACAACCATTTAAAAAGAAAAAAACTGCTATAATAGACATCCTCTTCGAGATTTATCAATCTTTGACCTTTAATACAAGTTGAAATATGTTCGAGTACTTTGATTTTTCTTTTTTTGGAAAAATAGCTTTTTGGATATTTAAAGTTACCAGCATCGTAACACATAACACTGTGCATCGTGCGATGTGTGACCTGATCAGTGATGAGCCATATTACAGTAAAATTTTTAAAAACGCGTTTTTAGAACCTGGTTTAAATATTTCAACTAAACGTTATAAACCTGGACCACTTTCGTTCAATTTATTGAACAAAATTTCCTTCAACAACAAAAAATTCTTCTGACTTGATTTAATAAATACGTTATTAATAAGTTTTCGGCATGTCATTTTACAAAAAATGTGTCAAAAAAAATTTATTGATAAGCCGAAAAATTCGTACTCAATTTTTTAATTTGATCACGTTTAGGATTTGGCGATCAAAAAACCGACTTCTAATTGCAATAAGCCTCATCTAAATCAACTCTTCCATAATTAAAATCATGTCAATTTTCACTTCGAGAATAAATATTCGACGAGCAATTTTCACGTTTACTTTAAATTGTACCCGAAGTTCTTCCTTGCAACAAATCAAACCAAGAATATTTACCATTAACAGTAAAGCTCATAGTAAAATAACACTGACAACTAAATTTAATTTTATTGGTTCGCAAAATAATACGAGAAAAACCATGTAAGTTTAATAATTATGCTTTCTTTACGGTAATTCTCTTTTTTTTTTTTTGAGTATTTATTCTTTATCAGATTTTACTTACCATTAATTGTAGACAACAGACAATTCTCTCGAAATTCAAGCTCTTACAATAAGCATAAAGAAAAGGAATCGAAGGTAAGTATCATTACCCTTTTCTCCTATTCTTTTTGTAAT